GGGGGTGTGGCCTCGGCGGCTCCCCGCCTCCGCGCGCCCTTCTGGAAGATGGAGGCTGCGCGAGGTCTCCCCGGACTTCTCTGGCGCAGAAAGTCTGGGCAGTCAGCCTGGACGGTTGTCTCCCGGGAAGGCTCCCTCGTGGGCCAGGGCGTTCTCTGCGCACCCACTTGATGTAAGGAGAAGCCTGGCTTCCAGGAGTCCCGGGTTGCGGGGCCGGTGGCCTGTGCAGTCCCGTCCTGCTTGGGTAGGAAAGTGGCTTTCTGCGCTCCCGTCCCTCCTCTGCCCCCGATCTCTCTGCCCCGAGGCCCCCCGTGTGCTTGGGTGTCCTGCGCCTCCCCATAGGGCTGGCGGGCCCGCTGGGTGATGGCGTCGAAGCGCAACCTTGGAGGGGCTGGCGCGAAGTGGCTTATCTCGTGGGCCGACCCCTGGAGCAGCCGTCTCCACCTCTGGGCTCTGCTTATCTCAGAGCCCCACTTGTATTGAAGCGTATCTCTAGAAATCGCCGCTTCTGCGGTCACCGAAGTGGCGCCAGCCTTGCACCTCGGGAACTTGCCCTTTTGGGATCTAAGAGTTGTGGCCCACTAATTAAGCCCTTAGCACTTGGATAAAGTCCGCGGCAGTTTTTCGGTGCAGTAATCGGTGGAATCGGTTTTGGTAGTAGGAGTTGCCAGTGATCGTGCAAATTAGCCAAGAATAGACGTCTTTAAGATAAATTTGGAGACGGGACTGGATATCTCTATGGGCGTCATTGCCTTACAGAAACCCTTGAATGCAGCAAGTGTCTGAAATTGAAAATCAGATTTTTGCTTTCTAATTGGAGTGTATTTGCATCAACCAGTGCCCACAATTGTCACCTCCATGGGGTGTTAATTTTCCAGATAAATTCAGCAGTCTGCTGTACATGGGAAGCTGGTGAGCGCCTTATTTTAACTATGCTCCAGGCAGAGGAGGAGAAGAGGACTAACAGTAAATGCTCCAGCACTCTCTCTTCACACAGTCAGGTTGGCACTGGCTGTAAGAAACGTTTTCTGCCCTAATACACATCCTTAAGACACTGCTGGAGGCAGTGCCTGTGATAGCATAACGGTTCCTTGAAGTAAAGGTTCAAGGATCGAGTTTCAGGTTTCTATTTTAGAACACAAACACTACTGTTGGGCTCTATCTCATAGCCTATTTGCCGGTCTCCTTAGGCACTGGCCCCTCCATGCTGTGTTTTCGGGGGAGGGGGGGAGACTGGGCTTGCAAGACCACCCTTCCTCCCTGGAGTCTGTTAACAGCTGCCTTCTGTGGGAAGTCCTGATGTGTTATGCTCACGTTCCACTTTCAGTCATACTACTTTGACCGCGATGATGTGGCTTTGAAGAACTTTGCCAAATACTTTCTTCACCAATCTCATGAGGAGAGGGAGCATGCTGAGAAACTGATGAAGCTGCAAAACCAACGCGGTGGCCGCATCTTCCTTCAGGACATCAAGGTGAATGGAAGGTCCTAGGGCTGTCCCACTTGGTAATCAAGCAGTGCTCGGGTATCAGAAATCCCTTAGACCGCAGCTGCCCTTCCTTACAAAATGATGACACACCGGGCTTTTACCTTCTGTGCCTGCGTAGACTTGCCATCTGAACTAATGTAGGCAGACAGTCATGGGCAAGGATGTTGGATTGGAAACTTGCATGTTCCTTTTGCCAAAACATGGTGGTTAGACGTTTGGGGCTGGCTGATTTGTGGGTTATCTGATAAGAAATGCATTGACATACCCTTCTCGTTTAGAAACCAGACCGTGATGACTGGGAGAACGGGCTGAATGCCATGGAGTGTGCATTACACTTGGAAAAAAATGTGAACCAGTCACTACTGGAACTGCACAAACTGGCTACTGACAAAAACGACCCCCACGTGAGTATTGGAAACCTAGGGACTAAATAGGGGCAGTCATCTGCCTTAGGGGTGGGAGACCTACCCACTGACTTTTCTATCCCGTTCTATTTTCTAGTTGTGTGACTTCATTGAGACACATTACCTGAATGAGCAGGTGAAATCCATCAAAGAATTGGGTGACTATGTAACCAACTTGCGCAAGATGGGAGCCCCCGAATCTGGCATGGCAGAATATCTCTTTGACAAGCACACCCTGGGAGAGAGTGATGACAGCTAAACCTTGGGCTAATTTCCCCATAGCTACTGGGTGACTTTCCTGGTCACCAAGGCAGTGCATGCATGTTGGGGTTTCCTTTGCCTTTTCTATAGGTTGCACCAAAATGTCCACTTCAGTTCTTTGATTTGTACCATTCCTTCAAATAAAGAAATTTGGTACCCAGCTGTTGTCTTGGAGCTCTTGGGAGGGCCCTTAAGTGCCACAGTTGAGTCATAATCACGCTAATCACAATGAAATGCCTGGGAGAATATCTGTATTTATCACCTTAGTTTCAGCAAGATAACACGGTGTAGCTGTGTTGAGTTCAGACAGGATTAAGGGCTCCTGGTTCTGAAGTAGGTGTTCTGAATTATATATTTCTAGTGGTTCATTCTATCACAATCTTTATGTAGAAAAGGCATTTAAAGGCTGGAGTAGTCCTGGACTACTAATTTTCGTTATCCGTTAAGCTAACTGGTAAATTCAGGCTGTCGTCGGAACATATTCTTCAGCGTGGACAGCTGTATGGCTATGACTGGATCAGTGTCCTGCTGGTGTACATGCAGGTGACGACCAGGCCGGTGAAGCATCCCCCTTGGGTCACAGGTTAGGAATGGGCTTCATCCCTGTGGAGAATGTGAGAAGGTTCAGGGCATGAATACAGAGTACTCATTTGGAAGCAGGAGGGCAAAGGTGGAGACCTAGCCTTGATGTCAGCATCCTTTCCTAAACATGCCACCGGTGGTTAAAGTTCCTCTCCAGCCCTAGAAGCAAGATAGACAGGGTTTCGAGACCATCCTGGGGAAATTGGTGAGGACTCATCTACAATAAATTAAAAAATTAGCTGGGCATGGTGGCACAGGCCTGTAGCCCCAGCTACTTGGAAGGCTGAGGTGGAAGGATTGCTTGAGCCCAGCAGGTCGAGGCTGTGGTGGCCGTGAGCATGCCATTGCACTCCAGCCTGGGTAACAGAGTGAGACCCCAACTCAAGGGAAAAAAAAAGCAAGATTGAAATTGCCTTTTTAAATTTTCAGGCACAGTAGCTGTGTGTTCTGACCAAAGAGAAACTGCTTGAGAAGCTAGAAAGGGAACTTATACTTCCTTGCCCCATCATGATTGGGGGTGTGGTGGGGTGTTTCTAATTGGGTGAAAAAGTGTCCAAGAAATCTGGAATAAAGGGAAACATCTGTTGGTTTCGTGACAACTTTGCACTGACCCCAATGAAGCATGAGGTATTGTGGTGAGATCCCAAGGGCAGTGAGGAGAGCGTAAAGGCCCAGATGCCTTCAGGCTCACCATCAGCCAGTTCTGGGGGAGAGTCATGGGTAGCACCATGACTGGTTCTGAGGAAGTGCTCATTTGTCGCCTCCCAGCTGACCCTGGGCAGTGAGTTGCGTTCTTGGGCTACAGCCTAGAGCCCCTAGTTGTGCCCCATGGTTTGGGCAGCCCCCCCTGCTCAGAGTAATCTGGGCCCAATGATGACATCTAAGCCTGGCCTGCCAGCCCTGGGGTAGTCCTGCCCCTAGCACCACTTCCTTCACCTGTGTCCCAGGGAAGCCTTTCCAGAGATGTCAGGCTCTTGGTGAAGTGAGACAAAGTCTCCAACACTTCTCTAGGGTCCCTGCGGAGGTGACCAGGCATATACCCCAAGCCGGTGCTGGGCATAGGTCCAGCATGCTCCGGCTTTAACTGGACCCTAGAAGATGCTGGAAGTGCAGGCTCAGAGCAAGGGCAGAGGGGTCACGCCCAGGGCAGTGCAGAGACCCAGGCTCTGGCGGAGGACAAACCTGTCTTCCAAGGACCAATAAGGGTCTGCATGATCTTGGAGTATAGTGTACTTGCTGCCGGTGGCTTGTTCCAAAGGTGGTTCACTGAGGGGACCTTCGGGAATCTCGGGCATATCCGTCAGGTTGAACTCCACAGTCTTCCTCCTCATGTGAGATACTTCCGGGTGCTCGGTCAAGTCCCCATCACTCTTTGGGAGTAATTCAAAACTGTTCCTGGCCCCAGAAGTCACAGGCTTTAGACTTTTGTCTTTGGCATCGATGCCTGTGACACTGGGAAGCCTTGAGGATGCCGGTGGTTCAGGGGGGAAGACCATGGGAATGGGGCTGAGGGGTGTCTGGGGGGCGCTGTAATAGCCCGGCCTCTGGTACAGCGGGGCAGACTTGAAGGCGTCCACCACCTTCAGCTTCCAGGCCTTGCTATCTTCCTGGCTCCTCAGGCTCTGTTTGGCCCCCCTGGGGTTCTTGGGCAGGCCCTCTTGGAGAAAGGATTCCCTCTTGGGCCACAGGAGTTTGGTCCTTGAGTTTATCCTGGGAGGATAGTGGTCATGGGACTGCAGGCCTGGGAAGCGGCCAGTGATGCCAGTGTGAGCATCCTCATCCTCTTCTGGGTTGGGCTGGAACTCCATCTCTTCTTTGTGCAGACTGGAAAGAAAAGGGCACGCAGGGCTGAGCAGGTGGGCGGAGGACCAGAGCCGGACCTTACTTCTCCCTTCCTCACTCGTTTCTCTCTGCCGGCCCAAGGCCCAGGCAAGTCTTCCTCACAATGCCCCAACTCTGGCCTCTCTCCTGATCCATCCTGTGCCTCCCTCCCGACAGAGCCCTCAAGGCCCAGCTCCCCTCATGACCTTTGACTCCCTTTTGCCCCTGGTGAACGTCCAACCCACCTGCCTGGCATGTGAGGGCCTCCTCTCCATCACTCACTCCAGGCGACCAGAGCAACGGGTCCCCAGACATGGGTGGTTCTGATCAGGCCAATGAGTGACTCTGGGCAGGGCCAGGGATTTGTGGGTCCAACCGGGGAGCAATGTCCACAAAGAGAGAAGCCTAGGGCTGGGTGCAGTGGCTCATGCCTATAATCCCCGCACTTTGGGAGGCCAAGGTGAGAGGATTGCCTGAGCCCATGAATTCAAGACCAGCCCAGGCAACTGGATGAGACCTCATCTCCTCAACAAATCAAAAAATTAGCCAGGCATGGTGGTGCGAGCCTGTAGTTCCAGCTACTTGGAAGGCTGAGGTGGAAGGATCGCCTGAGCCCAGCAGGTCGAGGTTGTGGTGGCCGTGAGTGTGCCACTGCACTCCAGCCTGGGTGACAGAGTGAGACTCCAATTCAAAAAAAAAAAAAAGAAAACCTTGAGTATGGATCCTGATGTGCACCCAACATTCTCAAAGGTCTCTCAACTCCACCATCCTCAGAAGAGAGGACCGGCTCTTCAGCCCACTGCAGCCCAAGAGGGATTCAAGGCCAGGCATGGTGGCTCACGCCTACAATCCAAGCACTTTGGGAGGCCAAGGCAGGAGGATTGCTTGAGCCCAAGGGTTTGAGACCAGCCTGGACAGCATGGTGAGATCTCATCTCTACAATAAATTTAAAAATTAGCCAGGCATGGAGGCACACGCCCATAGTCCCAGCAACTCAGGAGGCTGAGGAGAAATAATCTCCTGAGCCCGGGAGGTGGAGGCTACAGTGAGCTGTGACTGTATCTCTCCACTCCAGTCTGGGTGAAAAAATGAGACCATGCAAAAAAAACAAAAAAAACCCCAAGAATTCAGATTGAATCAGGAAAATGGTGTCAAGTGGAGGAAGGGTCTATCTGCTGTAGGTAGTCTGAGGCCTTTGTTCTGTAGGACAAAGTCAACTCAGGAGGTATCTGTGATGTCCTGGTCTCCTGCTGGGTCTTGCTTGCTGTCCCTTTCTCATTCCAGGGAACCCCACTTTCACCCCTCATCTAAACACCCCAGCTTACCAGAAAACAGTTCTGAATGACAGGAAGCAGGCCCTGACATCCACAGCATCACTGATCTCCGGCCATCCTTGAGTAACAGATAGGCCGTTTGCTAGCTATATGACCTTGACTGGGCAGCCTAACTCTCTGAACCTGCACTTAATCATCTGAAAACTGGCTGGGTGCAGGGGCTCTATAATTTTGGCACTTTGGAAGGTTGATGTGGGAAGACTGCTTGAAGCCAGGAGTTCAAGACCAGCCTGGGCAAAAATAAATTAGCTAGGTGTAGTGTGTGGCTGTAGTCTCAGCTACTCAGGAGGCTGGGGCAGGAGGACTGCTGGAGCCCAGGAGTTTGAAGCTGCCATGAGCTTCGATCATGCCACCGCACGCCAGCTTGGGTGACACAATGAAACTCCATCTCAAAAAAACCAAATCAGTCAGTTGCAGAGGCTTACGCCTATAATCCCAGCACTTTGGGAGGCTGAGGTGAGAGGACTCCCTGAGCACATGGGTATGAGAACCAACCTGGGCAACTTGGCGAGATCTCATCTCTACAATAAAAATCAAAAAAAGCCGGGCTTGGTGGCTCAGCCTGTAATCCCGCACCTTTGGGAGGCAGAGGTGAGTGGATTGCCCGAGCCCGCGGGTTCAAGACCTGCCTGGGCAGCGAGACCTCATCTCTACAATAAATCAAAAAATCAGCTGGGCGTGGTAGCGCATGCCTGTAATTCCGGCTACTCGGAAGGCTGAGGCGGAAGGATCGCCGGAGCCCAGCAGGTCGAGGCTGCAGTGGCCAGGAGCGTGCCACTACACTCAACCTGGACGACAGAAAGAGACTCCAACTCAAAAAAAAAAAAAAAGCCGGGCTCAGTGGCTCAGCCTGTGATCCCAGCACTTTGGGAGGCTGAGATGAGAGGATTGCCTGAGTCCGTGGGTTCGAGACCCGGCTGGGCAATTTGGCAAGACCTCATCTCTACAATAAATCAAAAAATCAGCCGGGCGTGGTAGCGCGCACCTGTAGCTCCAGCTCCTTGGAAGGCTGAGGCGGAAGGATCGCCGGAGCCCAGCAGGTCGAGGCTGCGGTGGCCAGGAGCGGCCACTGCACTCCAGTCTGGGTGACAGAGTGAGACTCCGACTCAAAAAAAAAAAAGAAAACAAAACAAAACAAAGCCAACAAACAAATATTGCCTGAAAACTGGGACTAACAAACCAAAGTTTGGGAGAAAAAAACAGTTACTATCCATAAAGAGCATAGTGCAGTGCCTGGTACTTATGATACACCCAGTGTATACCAACTAGTGCTCTCCTAAATTCTCAGGTGGGCCTTGCTCGCACTTGAGGGGTTTCTCGTCCAGTCCCCTGGCACTGCCCACCTGATGTTGAAGGTGGAACCCATAAAGGAGGCCCGACGGAACTGGGCAGCGGCAGCCGTGTAGGGGGGCTGGGGCTCTGGCTCGTTCCAGTACATGTCAGGCTCCATCCGAGGCAGGTCCTGGTGCATCTCATCCACGGCCATGAGGGACACCTGGTCAGCAGGGGCACAAGGAGAAGTCTCACAGAAAGGTCATACCAGGCAGGACCCTGCACTTGCCTCTCTTGGGACTCAGTTTCCCTACCTGTGAAATGGAGAGAAAGATGGATACCTACCTGCAGTCCCAAAAATCGAGGTGAAGGCCGAGTGCAGTGGCTCAAGCCTGTAATCCCAGCACTTTGGGAGGCCGAGGTGAGAGGATTGCCTGAGTCCAGGGGTTCAAGACCAGCCTGGGCAACTTGGCGAGACCTCGTCTCTACACTAAATCAAAAAATAAGCTGGGCGTGGTAGCGCGCAACTGTAGTTCCAGCTACTTGGAAGGCTGGGGCGGAAGGATCACCTAAGCCCAACAGGTCAAGGCTGCAGTGGGCATGAGTGTGCCACTGCACTCCAGCCTGGGCGACGGAGTGAGACTTCAACTCAAAAAAAAAAAAATTTGAGGTAAAATCCTGTGAGTGAACGGCTGGTTGCAGGGGTGGGGGGGAAGGGGATGACCATCCACTGTGAGGCCTCCTACAGAACTGGGGAGGCCCCTCCTTGGGTCCAGGTTGGGGAGGGTCCATGGTATGGCCTTCCTCCCTCTCCTCATACCTGCAAGTTCCTGTCAATAATCCAGTTGGTCTCAAAATCATCATCATCTTCTCCAAAGGGGTTGATGAGCTGCTCTGCCACCTTGGGGACAGGTGAGCTCTGGAGACCCTTAGGTGGAACTCCTCGAAGCCCTGCTTCCCACCCTTAAGCCTTAGCTCCCACCATTTCCACACCCCCATGACGCCCTTCCTGCCTGACCGCTGTCAGCTCAGCCACAGTGGAGGGTACCAGCCCCCACCCTTGCGGGCACCCACACATTTCCAGACATTCAAGCCCTCTGACTCTCCTGAGCCAGTCCCTTCCTGAACACCCATCGACGTCCCTGAGTGTGTCACTCAGCTGACCTTTATCCCACCTCACAGATCTCATCTGGAGGTGCATCATTTCTGTCATTCATTAATTCACTCATTCATGTCTTCAAACATTTATTTACTCATTATTTTCTTTTTTTTTTTTTTTGAGTTGGGAGTCTCATTCTGTCACCCAGACTCCAGACTGGAGTGCAGTGGCCGCTCCCGGCCACCACAGCCTCGACCTGCTGGGCTCCGGCGATCCTTCCGCCTCAGCCTTCCGAGTAGCCGGAATTACAAGGCATGTGCTACCACGCCCGGCTGATTTTTTGATTTATTGTAGAGATGAGGTCTCGCTGTCCAGGCAGGTCTCGAACCCGCAGGCTCAGGCAATCCACTTACTTCAGCCTCCCAAAGGCGCGGGATTACAGGCTGAGCCACCCAGCCCGGCTCTATTTTTTTTTAAGAGTCAGGATCTCACTTTGTCACCCAGGCTGGAGTGCATAGGTATGATCATAGCTCAATACAGCCTCAAACTCCTGGTCTAAGGCTATCCTCCCACCTCAGTCTCCCTAGTCACTGGGACTACAGTTGTGAGTCACAACACCCAGCTCCATTAATACATTGTTTTATGGCAATAAAGTAGGTTTGAGCACAGCTGGGGGAAATATTCAAGGCTCTTGCCACTTAGCTCAGAATTATCTTTATAAAACTTTACATACAAGGGGGACACTCCCCCCAATGGAGTTATTTCTTGGAGGGTGGATCCTTTGTAGTACAGGCTTACCCCAGTAAGTAGGTATTCTAGGAACCCATTGACATCAGTGTACCAACTAGCTGCATTCAGCTTCAGTTAATTATTTATTTATTATTATTTTTTTAGATTCTTTCAACATGTTTGCCCATTTCATGATGGGTAATTTATGTTTCCCAGAATGAAAAAGTCCTTAAAGGGAAACGTTTTGCCAATATGGA